GATATTGTCTATTCTCGGGCCACTGTCGCTGCGTCGGATCAGTTTCAGTAAGTACCGGAACGCAGAAAAAAGTGGCGGAACCAAAAAAAGACCAAAATACAGAAGTTCCGGAACTGCGTTCCGGCCCACTTCAAGCACTGGTCTTGAGGAGAACGTTTCTCGGTCTATTTATGGTAAGGCAAGGCAAGTTTTTATTATCATACACAGGGGTTATTAAGATAGAGAGAGCTGAAAATAATAGGTTATTGGTTGTAGCATAACAAGAATGATTCAAGAGAATTAAAAAAAGAGGTTTCAAGATTCAAAAGTTTTGTTATTGTTACACTATGACCATTTCATTAATGACTTCCCCAGGCCGATGCAATCACAAAAATTATAAAGCAAACAGTACACAGTGTGGGGGGCGGCATGGTGGTGCAGTGGTTAGCACTGTTGCCTCACACCTCTGGGACCTGGGTCGAGTCTCCGCCTGGGTCACATGTGTGTGGAGTTTGCATGTTCTCCCCATGTCGTCGTGGGGTTTCCTCCAGGTACTCTGGTTTCCCCCCCACAGTCCAAAGACATGCTGAGGCTGATTGGAGTTGCTAAATTGCCCTTAGGTGTGCATGTGTGAGTAAATGGTGTGTGAGTGTGCCCTGCGATGGGCTGGCCCCCCATCCAGGGTTGTTCCCTGCCTTGTGCCCATTGCTTCCGGGATAGGCTCCAGACCCCCCGTGACCCAGTAGGATAAGCGGGTTGGACAATGAATGGATGGATGGACAGTATACAGTGGCCTCCACAATTACTGACACCCCTTGTAAAGATTTGTAAAAACAGTTCGAAAAAAATCCACCTTTCAATAAAGTAGCTTCATGTCACAAAAAATCCAACCTTTCATTGAAATAAATTCATTCAAAGAAAAACTAATCCTTCATTAAGAAATAATTATTTTCAACAAAAACACATTCTGCATGCCACGATTACACTGGTCAACAGTCATTTTGCTACTGGAGTTCTGTCAGCTGTACCTTATCAAAGTCCACATGCTGACTCTAAATCTGAAAACCGTTTTTGTCTATCACGTCCCATTTTTAAGTTATGGGTCTGTTTGTGTTTATAACATTTTTGTCGATAACATTGAATTTTGGACTATAATTGATTAAATATGCCACTAAATTGAAATTTTATACTAAAAGTGATTGTACTGACTTTTTACCTGTGAATTTTTACGTTTTTATTGCTTTTGTTTTAGACGATATGAACAGGCGAGGTTGTGTGAACCATCCTGATAACTTCTCTTATGTCTGCGGACAATTTACTGCACAAGATCAGCGAAAGAATCTGTCCAGCAGACTTAGAAGTGCATACTACCATTATTTTGGTTGCAAAGTTGGCAACCAAGATAAAGCATGGGCCCCTCATGGGTGCTACTTCAGTTTAACACAGTGGCTGAATGGCAAATGGAAAAAGATGCCATTTGCTTTACCAATTTGTGCTGGTTGTTCAGAATTTTCTTGGTAACCATAGATCAGAGAATTATGTTGAGCTTGTGTAGAATATGTTGACAGCGTTTCAGGTAATGGGTGCCAGAATGTCACTTAAAATGCACTTTTTACATTCCCACCTTGACTTCTTCCCACCCAATCTTGGTGATGTCAGCGATGAGCATGGGGAGAGATTTCATCAAGATATGAAGATGATGGAAAGCAGATATTAGGGAAAGTTCAATCCCAGTATGATGGGAGACTACTGTTGGTTCTTGCAAAGAGAGACGAATGTACAGTACAAGCCTAAAAGCAAGTGTCTCAAACATTTTTGAACATGCTGACATCACTTGTGTGAGTTAAGATATGTGTATATATGGTGTAACATGTACTCTTTATGTGTGTTGATGTTTGTTTTCAGTGCAAAATCCTTAACACAAGTTTGGTGAGACATAGTTCATAATAAAAAAAATTGTGCCGAACAGCAAATTATCTTAAACGTCAGCAACGTGTAGCTCAGAAACCAGACGTGATAGCTGAATTTTAATTACAGATCTGAAATCAGCATCAAAAATTGAAAAAAAAAGTTTTTTTTTGTTGACCAGTGTTATTGGCACCCCAGCATTTAATACTTTGTACAACCTCCCTTTGCCAGTATAACAGCACTGAGTCTACTCCTATAACATTTTATATGGTTGGAGAATACAAAGCAATACAAGGCCGTTCCTCTTTACAGAATCTCTCCAGATCATCCAGGGTCCAAGGCCCTGTCTTGTGCACTCTCCTTTTCAGCTCAGCCCACAGGTTTTCAGTGGGGTTCAGGTCAGGGGACTGAGATGGGCATGGCAGAAGCTTGATTCTGCGGTCAGCTAATCATATTATGTTCATTTGGACATGTGCTTTGGATCATTGTCCTGCTGGAAGATCTATTGATGGCCCAGTTTTAGTTTCCTGGCAGAGGCAGCCAAATTTTGATATAAAATGCCCTGGTATTTCATTGAGTGAGTAATATCATGTACCGTAACAAGGTTTCCAGGGCCTTTGGAGGAAAAACAGTCCCACAACATCACAGAACATCCACTATATATTACAGCTGGGATAAAGTTCTTCTCATTATAGCCATCCTTCTTTTTACACCAAATTCACCTTGAATGTTTATTGCCAAAAAGCTCCATTTTTGGTTCCAGTTAACATTGTAGTAGCGTTTCACAAATTCCAGGGGCTTACGTTTGTGGTTAACTGACAGACAAGGCATCTTTCTGGCATACCTTCCAAATAATCTGTTAGCGAGAAGGTGTTGTCAGATTGTGATTTTGGAGATGTGGTAACCCCAAGATTTTACTTCACCTCATAATTCACCAACAGTGATCCTTGGGGATTTTTTTGTACGTGGGGGCAAAATAATCTTGGGTCCGCTTCCAGGCAGGTTTGTAACAGGCACTTCGGGCACTTGCCAGGCTGGCATTGTAAATAAGAATTTGTTCTTAGTGCTTTGCCTGGTAAAATAAAGGTTAAAATAAATAATAATAAAAAAAGTTCCAGTTAATGACCACTTTTTTATTATTGCAAAAACAGTTGAAATTGGCATTATTTAAAAGAAGCAAATGATATAAAATTTGTAAAACTATTAAACAAAAATATCATTAAGATTAAATAATATGTAAACCACATAAAAGGCAAAAGTGACTAGCGTCAATTTTTCACAGGTTATGGCACATCTTTTCAATATGAACATTAAATTGATTATATGAAATTGAAATTAAATACTTGTAAATGTAGATGTGTAACATATTGGGTTTTACAGTTTTGAGATTGGAAAGGAGAAATGTTGTTGTGAAATATCGTGAATTGAACTGAAAGACTTTTTTTAATTGCTTGAATGCCGTTAAATACTAATATTATGTGACTAGGTGGGATTCAAATTCACATTCAAATTTCAGATTTACTCAGCGTTATATGCTACATCCTTTGGCCCTGGCTATGACACCCAGCACTTATAATTTTCGATGGTCCCACCCCCCATGCGTTAGGGTATATTTGAGAGGAGAAGGGAATATAGCCGAAAAAAAATTAAAGTTATCAAAAATAAATTAAATATCAAACGATGAATGCTAAATTGATATATCCATACTCTGTTAAGCGACATTTTGGGATATCCGTGCGGATTGATTATGGTGATAGATATTTTGTTGTTTAGTAGGAAGTCGGCCACATCCCTGTATATGGCCAGGGAGTGAGCTCGGGTTTATAGGCCTTTGGTTGATCACCGACCTGCAGTATGGATACTGAACGGTGAAAGAGAACCGCAGCGCGGCTTCACTAGGCAGCGGGGGAGGCTAGCTACACCGTGATAAATATAACAGCCAGACGCTTGTTTTTACTTTGTGTTAGCTAGTTGCTATATATTTTTCTAAATGGTGGAATAAATAAAAAAAGAACGAAATGTATGTTATCGACGACGAAGTGTTTAGTTTATAAAATAATTGTCATCGTAAGGTTACTTACCTTACCCAGATAAATAAAACCGGCTAGCTAGCTGACAACCAACTCCTCTGCCTCAGCTGCTGTCCACTGATACAGGTAAGATGCATTTACTTTTTAAAATGAGGCACTCTTAAATCAAATCTTTACTTTCACTGTCCAGTACTCAAATTTAAATAATTCATGAGCTTCATTGAACTTTTTAAAGTGGGGAGCTGGAAAGCTAGCTTGTTAGCGAAAATGTAATGGACCGTAACTGTGGTTACTGCACGTTAGCTGTTATTTTGTTGGTTTACGTTTTTATGTATTGGAAAGAAAAAAAAAAAACTGGTGAAAATTTGATGGGTTTTATACACAGCTGGATATTGTATTGTTTAGATTTATTTTAAGCTGCTACCATGCTCAAGGGTAAGACGAAAGGAGTGCCCCTGGGACTTTATTTAAAATGTCCAGATTATAGATCCGTGTCCTATGAAGTCGGCGTATTTGAGCAACTTGTTGGCAAATGAAGCTGAATCTGCAGCACCAACAGTGGATGAGCTGTCAGTCATTAGTGTCATGTTACAGTTAATTGGACTTTTCCTGTCCTGTGTGTTAAAGGATGCATAATTGCACTTATCCTAGTGTTTAATTATGGGGTGCATTATTAAATATTAAAGATGAATATTATGATGTTTTTGTGTTTTAGGGTAGAGAAGGAGCAGTCAGGATGGAACGAACGGACAGCATCCAGCTGGACATCCCAGACTTTAGCAACTCTGTCCTGTCGCACCTCAACCAGTTACGCATGCAGGGCCGCCTGTGCGACATTGTGGTGAATGTGCAAGGCCAGAGCTTCCGGGCGCACAAGGTGGTCCTGGCTGCCAGCTCACCATACTTCCGCGATCATATGTCACTGAGCGAAATGAGCAGCGTGTCGATTGCTGTGATCCGAAACCCTTCCGTCTTCGAGGAGCTGCTCTCTTTCTGTTACACAGGCCGCCTTTGCCTGCAGCTGGCCGACATCATCAGCTACCTGACAGCAGCCAGCTTCCTGCAGATGCAGCACATCATTGACCGCTGCACACAGATCCTGGAAGGCATACACTTCAAAATCAGCCTTGCTGATGTAGAGGCAGAACTAGGGAATGCAGAACATACTCCCAGTGGGGCACCCAGAGGTCTGGAGCAAGGGAGGGGGGTGGCAGGCGTGATTTCAGGAAATGGGGCATCCATCAGCCCACGACAGGGCAGCTACAGGGCTCTCAACACACGCCGTGGAGGGGGAAGCAAGGATCTTCGGGATGTGAGAGAGTTTCGTGAGGCCAGTCCTCTAGATGAGTCCATGAGTCCACAGATAGTGGAGCACAACACTTGTGGGGCCGGAGGTCTTGCTGGAACAGGAAGCGGTGGGGGAAAGGAGCACATCCTGCGTATTAACCGTGCCGGGCAGTGGTATGTGGAGACTGGCATGGAGGCCGACCATGGAGGGGATGAGAACGTGCGGATGGTGGAGGGGTTGCGGATTAAGACGGAGCGACTGGAGGACTGGATGGGGGCAGAGACCCAGGCATCCGGAGAAGAGGGGAGCAGTGCAGAGGAGGTCCCCACCATGGTGATTAATACCACAGGGCATAGGATGGTCTCCCAGGATGGCTTTACTGCAGGGACATCAGGGGCAAAGAGCTCCCAGCCATCAAGCAGCATCAGTGAGAGAGACAGGTAAGTGGGATTGGGGATTGGGCACAGTGACTTATAGATAACTGATCAGTGTTCATGAGCCCACATTCCTTAATGATTATTTTCACATTCAGAACTAGGAAATAAAAACTGACCAACGTAATACGTAATTGTTATACAGAGTGCTGAACACAGTGGTTGAATTTTTATTCCTTATTCTTTTTTTGTGCACTCCATCTGGACAGGGAGTTCCAGCTGTAAGATAACCACTGAGAATACAGGAATGTTAGGACTCTATGCCCATGATTGGAAGGTTATCAGTTCAAGTCCTGTGGCTGGCACGGTTATGGTACCGTTGGACCTTTAAGCAAGACTCAACCCTAGTTGCTCCAGGAACTGTCTGACCCTTCTCTCTGATTCACTCTTGTATGTTGCTTTGGACAAAACTGTCTGCTAAATAAAAATGAGGTATATAGGGTTGCAGCAGTATACCGGTTTCACTGTAAAATTGGTGCTTATCAAACCATGTTCATTTGCTTATTACCCACTTTGGAAAAATTGGCAACCGAACAGAAATTCCCACCTGTGCGTTTCTCCTTTTCTGTTTGACTGCCTGTCAGACTTAACTGGCGCTGTCATGCAAAATCTCTTATAGTAATGGGAGACAGTTCATTTTATTCAGTTCACCTAAAAGCTTTGATTTGTTCACCAACTCCTTCAGTGAAACTTATTGTTTGCATAAAATAGATCTGTCACAAAACAGCCTAAAAATTGCTAAGAAGTTGGGCTGGGCTCTAGAGTCTAGTGTCGGCATCTGACGTTTGCTTTGCACTTGGTGATGTAAGGCTTGGATGCAGCTGCTCGGCCATGGAAACCCATTCCATGAAGTTCTCTATGCACTGTTCTTGAGCTAATCTGAAGGCCACATGAAGTTTGGAGGTCTGTAGATGTTAACTCTGCAGACAGTTGGCGACTTCTGCACACTGCGCCTCAGCATGCGTTGTGCCCGCTGTTTGATTTTACGTGGCCTGCCACTTTGTGGCTGAGTTGCTGTTGTTCCCAACTGGTTCCACTTTATTGTAGTACCACTAACAGTTGACTGTGGAATATTTAGTAGCGAGGAAATATTGCTGTGCATTGTGTGCAATAAGTCCAATCACGTTACCATGCTTGAATTCACTGAGCTCCTGAGAGTGACCCATTCTTTTGCAAATGTTTGTAGAAGTAGTCTGCATGTCTAGGTGCTTGAATTTATACACCTGTGCCTATGGAAGTGATTGCAACACATGAATTCAATGATTTGGAAGAGTGTCCATATACTTTTGGAAATATAGTGATTTCAGTACCGGTTCCAGAACAATAATTTTTCAGTACCAATGTGTTTGTAAATCAATTTCAACAACAATAGGAATACATTAAACATTACAGCAGTAATCTTTTATTTGAAGAATTCGGTTTGTTAGTTATTGGGGGGATCGATCGCGATCATAACGGGACACAGCCTTTTATTTATATTTTACCGGGGCTCTCAAGTTTCATCAAAAGTGTGGAGTAAGATTACAACTGTTAGGGATGCATCTGTTAGGACCCTGCCTGCTGCATCCATCAGATCTTACTCTGCAACTTCCACTTTGTCTGCACTCCCTATGTGCGCGCGTATTTATGTAATAACGTGCTTGCAGTGGAATCCCGTCTGCTCTGCCACTTAATTCCACCTTGTCTGTACTCCATATATGCGCGCATCCGTGCTTGCAGCGGGATCACATGTAACAAATGCTATTTTGTGATTGGCTGGTAGGTGGGTATTACCTCCGTCTAACTCGATTGGGACAGCTATGAACAAGGCAGAAAACTCCCCTCCGTATGCCGGCGCCACGTCCACTAATTCTATATAACGGGACACCTTGGCGTTATCTCTTACTTCTATGAGCGTGTGAAATGGCTGAAATGCGTGTCTCACAGTCAATGCGTGAGATATGAGAGCCCTGATTTTACTTAAACGACCCGCGATATGATTATAATTCTTAAATAAATATGGCCAGCAAGTCGATCTTTCATTTCCCACAGAAAAACAACGATGTAACGTTACCCCGCTAATAAGCACTGGCACGTTTCACCGCCGGCACCGGCTGGAGACGCAGGCAAAGGGTATTCAGTCTTACACCAATTCTCACTCTCTCCGGGTGTTTCACGTGATATACTATGATGTGGTCAGCCACCATGGGCGTAAATTATGGGGGAGTTGTAGCCCCCCCCAATAAATCAAAACCAGCTAATACAACCCCCCCCCCGCCCAATAATCATGTTTCCCCCGTAATGGGTGGAGACCTCAACCCCCCCAATGCCAAAGTTACGCCCTTGTCAGCCACTATATGGGGGCATAAAACAACACACACGTGAACCCATTCACAAGTTTGTCTCTGGGTGTATGTTTTTCCTCCGGCATATATGACGTTTCCGTGAAACATTACGTTAGACAGCCAATCACAAGCGACTTTAGATCTTTACACAAGTATGCTGCATGCTTACTAGCTCACAGACGCTGAGATTTACTGCTTGGGTATCAGAATTTAGCACCGAAAGAAAATAATTCTTTGATCCTTGATAGGATTGGAGCATTTCGGTCGGTACCACAAAAGTACCGAAGTTCGGTACCCTGCCCTAGTGACACGCAGGGCTGGACTGGGACCAGAAAATGGCCCTGGCATTTTTTGGTCATGGCAGCCCACTATGATTATTTATACCAGGAGTCTCCAGGTGTGGCTCATCAGAAGCCAAGTGGGACAGAAAACCTACTGGATAGTAGCTCTCCAGGACCGGAGTTGGAGACCCCTGATTTATACGATATGCGAAAGCACATGACATACCAGAGGATATATGTGCACGTTGTGTGATTTCAAAAATTAAAATAAAGCACAGCAGCCTACAAGGAAGAGAGTAATCATGTTAAAAAATTGATATGCTCTTTCACTACTCAGGGATTCATCTTGAGAGAGATGGCCACAGTGTCACAATTCCCACCTTGAAGTGAAGAGAGAGAGGGGGGGTGCAGGAATGTTAATTTCACTAGTGTTATTTCTCTGCTTACCTATCAATGATAAATCATCCATTTCATCCATCCATCCATCCATCCATTTACTTCCGTTTATCCGAGGTCGGGTCGCGGGGGCAGCAGTCTCAGCAGGGAAACCCAGACTTCCCTCTCCCCGGCCACTTCCTCCAGCTCCTCTGGGGAGATCCCGAGGCGTTCCCAGGCCAGCCGAGAGACATAGTCCCTCCAGCGTGTCCTGGGTCTTCCCCGGGGCCTCCTCCCAGTGGGACATGCCCGGAACACCTCACCAGGGAGGCGTCCAGGAGGCATCCTAAGCAGATGCCCGAGCCACCTCATCTGGCTCCTCTCAATGCGGAGGAGCAGCGGCTCTACTCTGAGTCTCTCCCGAATGACCGAGCTCCTCACTCTAAGGGAGAGCCCAGCCACCCTGCGGAGAAAACTCATTTCGGCCGCTTGCACTCGCGATCTCGTTCTTTCGGTCACTACCCACAGCTCATGACCATAGGTGAGGGTAGGAACGTAGATTGACCGGTAATTCGAGAGCTTTGCCTTTTGGCTCAGCTCCTTCTTCACCACGACAAACCGATGCAGCGCCCGCATCACTGCTGACGCCGCACCGATCCACCTATCGATCTCCCGCTCCATCCTTCCCTCACTCGTGAACAAGACCCCGAGATACTTAAACTCCTCCACTTGGGGAAGGACCTCCTCCTCGACCTGGAGAGAGCACTCCACCCTTTTCCGGCTGAGGACCATGGTCTCGGATTTGGAGGTGCTGATTTTCATTCCAGCCGCTTCACACTCTGCTCCGAACTGTTCCAGTGAGAGCCGAAGGTCACGGTCTGATGAGGCTAACAGAACCACATCATCTGCAAAAAGCAGAGACCTAATCCTGAGGTCACCAAACCGGACACCCTCAACGCCCTGGCTGCGCCTAGAAATTCTGTCCATAAAGGTTATGAACAGAATCGGTGATAAAGGGCAGCCCTGGCGGAGTCCAGCCCTCACCGGGAACAAGTCCGACTTACTGCCGGCAATGCGGACCAAGCTCTGTCACCGGTTGTACTGGGACCGAACAGCCCTTATAAGGCAGTCCGGCACCCCGTACTCCCGGAGCACTCCCCACAGGACACCCCGAGGGACATAAGAACATAATCTTATGTCGAATGCCTTCTCCAAGTCCACAAAGCACATGTAGACTGGTTGGGCAAACTCCCAGGCGCCCTCCAGGCTTCTGCGGAGAGTATAGAGCTGGTCCACTGTTCCACGGCCAGGACGAAAACCACACTGCTCCTCCTGAATCCGAGGTTCGACTATCCGACGGACCCTCCTCTCCAGCACCCCAGAATAGACTTTACCAGGGAGGCTGAGGAGTGTGATCCCCCTATAGTTGGAGCACACCCTCCGGTCTCCCTTCTTAAAGATGGGGACCACCACCCCGGTCTGCCAATCCAGAGGCACCGCCCCCGATGCCGCAGATGCGTGTCAACCAAGACAGCCCCGCAACATCCAGAGCCTTGAGGAACTCCGGGCGGATCTCATCCACCTCCGGGGCCCGGCCACTAAGGAGCTTTTTAACCACCTCAGCAACCTCTGTCCCAGAGATAGGTAAGTCCACCTCCAAGTCCCCAGACTCTGCTTCCTCATTGGAAGGCGTGTCGGTGGGATTGAGGAGGTCTTCGAAGTATTCCTTCCACCGACCCACAACGTCCTGAGCTGAGGTCAGCAGCGCACCATCCCCACCATAAACAGTGTTGATGCTGCACCGCTTTCCCGCCCTGAGACGCCAGATGGTGGACCAGAATCTCCTCGAAGCCGTCCAGAAGTCATTCTCCATGGCCTCGCCAAACTCCTCCCATACCCGAGTTTTTGCCTCAGCGACCACCAAAGCCGCATTCCACTTGGCCTGCCGGTACTCATCAGCTGCTTCCGGAGTCCCACAGGCCAAAAAGGCCCGATAGGACTCCTTCAGCTTGACGGCATCCCTCAC